ATTCTGTTGAGTTATTTTAGAGATGTCTCATCATTAGCGTCTAGAATGTTCTTACTGCTAAGAATGGTGTTTAAAAAATAGGTACGACGTAATCGACTACTATGAATAAGGTTCGAGATCGTAAGATTTAGTAAGGTTTTCAGAAGTTTGAGATACCACTGTAAAGTTAGGTCGCAGATCTGTAAAGTGTTTTAACTGGGAAAACAGGAATCTACTCTTGGCTTCGTGACAAACTACCTTATGTTTGTTTGTTTGTTTTTTTTTTTGCTGTTGTTGTTATTATTATCTTTTTGCTATGAGCTAAATTTTTTATGTTGATCATTTAGGAGCCATGGCTTACCGTGGTGATCTCATCGCCTGTGAAGTTGACTTTGAAAACGTCTCCAAGGGCGAAATCCCTGTGCTCTTCTCCTTGAACGGCAAAGAAGTGGCGCGTTCTTCGATGAAGTATACTTTGGGACAAGAACTATTTCCCTTCGTCTCATTAGGATATGAAGGCATTACAGTGCTCACAAAGGTATGTTCGAGGAGGTAATGGGCTAGAAATTAGAGCTGTAATTTGTTTGGCTTCATTAGTGATCTGCTAACATATTACACCTCGGGAAGCTCCTCCAACCACAAGAGATTGTTCCTGTGACTAAATCAGAAGCATTTGGCGGTGGAGCTCTCTCTCTGTGGCAGCTCTCAGATGCTGAAATCAATTTCCATCATTGAAAGGCAGAAGTTTGTCGTATCCAGTGTTGAAAAGACCACGAAAACTTTGTTCAAGTCTGTGTAATTTTCAAATGTTTGTGAACATTTACAAAACTATCCACCCAGTATAACAAAAAGTCTGTGCCCAGTGGAGTTTACAGTTCACAACTATTATCATCGCTGTCGTAGATTCCGGTATTTTTTTACATTTGAAACGTTTGATTTGCGCACGCTTTAGATGTGCTGTCGTGACAGAGACCGTTTCAGTGGAGTAACAAATGAAGACATTCAGGAGAAAATTGAAGTTCTGAGAGGTGATGTTCAGCATCAACTTGCCGAGCAAGCGAGGAATGTTCAACATCAACTTGTCGAGCAAGCGAGGAATGTTCAACATCAACTTGCCGAGCAAGCGAGAAATGTTCAGCATCAATTTGCCGAGCAAGCGAGGATGTTGTCGGAAATGAGAAATTTAGTTCTGCGTTTGAAGGAAGTAAAGGATAAAGAAGAGCAAGAAACAGGCTGATGATTTGAGCTAAGTCTTCGGGTAATAATGGATTGTGCGTAGTTTGATGGATCAGAGAGTTGATTAGTTGTAGGCTTGCAGCTATAATTTCAACATTTCCTAAGTTTTTTAATGGAGGGAGGAAAATAAAGAAGGCTTGATCATGTCTGTAATTGTAGGTAAACACTGGTTTATTCAGCTTAGGCACAATATATATTGCATGTCACCACTTTTTTTCAATAGATGAAAGGATGCATATCCAAATTTACTTGCAAACTATATCTATAGCTGTAATATTTCTTATCCATCAAATTAAACTAGTAGTTTACTTACTTACAAAGAAGAAAGAAGTTCTGAAAAACCAGGCATTACCCTGTATAGGTTACTTTAGCTTTATATAACTCCTAGCCCCGGTTGTTCAAAGGGAGGATAACGCTCTATCTATTGGATAATCTCTATCCGCTGGATAGTGCAGTACGTTTTTTTTTTTTAACACTTATCTGCTGGATGGCGATTTATCCATTGGACAGAGTTATTCGCCCTTTGAACAACCGGGCCCTGGTCAGGAATTCTCCCTTTCAGCTGCTATACGCATGCGCTATACGCGTCCTTGCAAATTATTTGGGAGAATGTAGAGTTAAATCAAGATATCACTTTGTTAATGACCGAGTCAGTGTGTTATTGTGTTTGCTTTAGAACGCGTGAATATTGTAGAGCGGAAAAGTGCTTCTGCTAGTCTATTTACATTGAATTGTTTCCTTTCGTTTAAGTGCCAATATGTTAAGATGAAGGAGAACGCATTCAGAACAGTCTGTGCGAATTACAAATACTCTGCTCACCAACCACATAATCTTACGTTTGTTTCAGAATTCATATTACTTGTACTCTTTCAATCGTTGCATGAAGTGTAAAAATAAATATTTTTGATAAACGATAGATTAGTCGTACAATCAAACTCCTTTGAAGTGTGCTCACTCAGAAAATATCCCAGTAAGAGAAAGCCCAAGTGTTCGGTATTTGTCTCGAGCCTGGGACAAGCCCAAGACCCAAGACATGATGAGGGCACTATCGGACACAGCCAAAAAATTACGGGATCAATCTAAAGAAATAAAAATATATCGATAATGACAAGGGGACTACTGCAAGGCCTGATCAGAGAGTGCGAACATATCTTAACTCCGTCTACTCAAGTGGTCAATACCAGTGGTTTTCATATCAGAGTTCTTCAGGTGTTACCAAGAGGGGGTGGGGAAGCAAGGAGACACATTAATCCTCCCCCCTCACAGCCCCCTTACCCACAAGGTT